TGTGCACGGGAGGTACATAAAAGATTATCTATTGTGTGAGCAGTTTGTCAGCCCAATGATGCTACAGCCCCGTGCTGTGCGTATATCAATATTATGGGCGAAAATCTGCAATACAGACAGAAGAAGAGGAAGAGTAGGCCTTTTAATGTCTCCCACGGTTCATCAGCAGTTTAGCAAGGCCCCGTGTTACCTCCTGGGATTGTCCTCTCATCACAACCAGGCGGCATTGATGGGCCTTTACAGGCACTAATGCTTCGCTACCTTGACAACACACAGCAGCCATAAGCCCTCTAAAAGATCCACTTCTTCTCCAGATGAGTCAGGGGTCCCACTCCACCGTTTACCCCACACTCCCAAGGAGGGCGTCTCATCCCTGGATCAAAACCTCATACTACTGACCTTTCAGTTGCTCCCACCAACCACCAGACCTCCTCATAAACAGGTCCCACTGAGAAAGGGAGGGGGGGCGGGCAGGCATGTGATATCACCCTTTATAGCTTTATTGATTTCCTCTCAGGATGTAACTATTAACATTGAGCTGCTATGGTGGCTGCTGCTGTGTTGTTCTCTGCAGGTAAGAACACTGGCTCACACCCCTGGCCTTGTGGATTGTATATGGGGGGGGGGTGGAGGTACGGGAAGCACAGGGGAGGCACATGCTTTTATAATTAAGGTCAGCTGGGATGCATTACAGCATTTGGAGGTGTTAAAACGGGCCCTCCTCAGAGAGTATGTTGGCATTGCCTATGCTCGTAAATTAGCCACGCTCCCCACTGATGTTAGGAACAGGAGATGGGGGCTGGAAGGAGGGAAAATGGGGGAATTAGATAGATGACTGGATGTAGACACAAGGCTAGATTTGATTTGTATTGTTTTTTATTTTTAATTTAATGCCTTTTCCCCCAGATCTGTGATTTTAAAAGAAACCATAAGGAACATGTTGCAATTAAAAAAAGTGAAGTCCAATGAGGTCTTGTTTTCTGTATGCAACCTATAAATCAATTAATTATGCATATGGATGCCTTGTGGTTTACTCAGAAAATACTGAACCAAAATTACTACTACTTCTTCTACTACATTTTGAAATTGAAAAGTGATGAAATAAGACAGCAGTGGTGCTGTCAATTATTAATTACCAAATGCAACCAGACAATATGTTTACAATCATACTGAAGCATGAACATTCCACTTACAAAATGTATTTTGTGTTATATATGAATGAAATATTAATTGACCCCTAATAATTCAGATGTTAATATTAGCAGCACAAATTAAACAAAAGGAACCCATTAATCCCCACAAAACCTTCCAGAAAAGTTCATTAATAGGCAGAAAAAGTTAAATAATGGGCAGGTAAGTCAGCAGATGCTCCCACAGAGTGTGTAGAGGTGTGTTCAAGCTCTCTTTGGACCAACACTGGCTCCAGTGAGGCGGGCAAAACAAAACAGGGCCCTTCAGATTCACAATGGGGACACTGTCAGCAAGGACAGGGGAGGGGAGAGGGAACAAACACAACACAAGAGTTTCACAAACAACCTGTCAGAAGGCATTCAGCAGGACAGGTCTGACTGGGACACCCAGCTCACACCCTGCGCCGGAGGTGAGGCAAGGGTCATCTCTCTGATGCATAGTGAGAGAAGTATGACAAGCAGAAGGAGTGGGAGTAAGAGAGACGAGGAGGAAAAATCAGGGCTTTGTGGCATGGCGTCATCATATTGCATACGCTGACTTATGACATGTGAGGTCTATTGTCTAAGGTCGGGTTTATGTAAGCTGTTTCTATGTCATAGACATGGAACAAAACGTGTTTGCCTGAAAGTATAAATAGTTTTAGTTTATAAGGCATAATGTTTTAAAGGTGGAACTGATGGCTTTATTAATGGTTAATAAATAAATTAAGAAAGCTTTATAAATGAGTAATAAGACATTATTAAGGACAATGTGTGCCTGGATGTGAAAATCCATTTGATTGGTTTATATCCTATGCAAACATTATTTACTTATTTGTATTTAGCTCTTTTCTTTAAAAGCTCGTTGCAATCTCCTTATAAGGTAGCCCATAGAAATGCTTATGAATTGTTTGACTCAGTAGGTTAAAAAATAGTGTACAAATGTTAAATGTCTGACACAATGACACAGCCATTATTGCCATTTTGATTTTGTGGTATTGATTTCAGCTTTTAGTTAATAATTCTGGCCTACTTTGACAGCTTGTAGATACCAGTCATCAGTCTGACCCTCCTGAGACTAAGCTGAGTGCCAAAAACCTGACAGAAACAGAGTAATCAGAGCCTGGGCCACTGACCGTTGTTTATGTGTGCTAACCAGAAATGACCTAGTATCTCAGCGTTGCTTATTTTTTAATCGGGTAACCTCTCTTTGCGGATGACAAAAGGAAAACATCATTAAAATAATGCAATGTATTCATATATATTTTAAATAAAAAAATATATCACAATAACATTTTGTCTTCTTAAATATTTGATTTGAATTGATCAATATTTCTTTCTGTAAAGGAAGCATTTAAAGGGTAAATCCACACTGAATCACATTGGGCACAGTGACAAGTTTACATCCTCTGATGGTTACCATAATTACCACTTTCTACTTGAACATACCATGAACCTTGTAATTCAGACTAGGACTTTGGTATTTTTGTGATAGCTGTGTGATGTCGCTGAATAGGGCTTGGCTTAAACTTTGTAATCGACAGAGAGCAATGCAGCAGCAGCAGCATAACTGAGCAATGTTTGCTTCTTCATATTTTCCTGGGGTCAAATTCATATTTCATAAAGGCAGTTGATTCTAAAAGTGAGACCTTGCCAAGAAATCATCAAGTGTTAATACAGTTACTACTGTTACTAGAGAGTAATGAGTATGAGAATGATAAGAGAGTATAATGAGGAGCTAACAGTAGAGTTTCTCATTATTTTCCATGATCATTGCATTTTTTGTTGCATCCATACCACTTTACCAGGTTCACTGAGCTGTACTTGTACTGCATTTCCGAGCCAGCATATAAAACCTGAATGCGACTCTCCGCTTTAGCAAAATGGAATGAAATCTGTTGTACACCGCTGAACTGTCACACAAAAAATATAGTAATGGGCCTCAACCTGCCACCACTTTTCACAGGTGTTTTTTTACAACAGTATTTATTTGACCATTATGTTAAATTGTCCCCATAAAGCCACACTTGGCAGCACCATCCTCTGAATCTCTTTGTGAGCCACTTTAGTATACCACCGGGGCTTAGTGTGTTCCACAGACCCAATATGGTCGCTTTAAACTGAATAAATAAAGCCAATTTAGTTGGGCTGTGCCCCCTTGTTGGGGGGAAGCAGTGTTAAGGAAACAACTCTCAAGTTTTTTTCATGCATATTATAAATCTGTGAAGTGTACCTCAAGGAGAGGGTTATGTCTAATATAGTATTTACTGGTCACCTTGTGTTTTAAAAGTAGATAATATTGACTAGGCTAGGTATTGGTATATACTTGAACTTATTTGTAGCCACACCTTTATATGGACTTTCATGTATGCTGACAAGTTAAATAAGCAGCACAGAGCATAGGGAATCAGTCACTAGATATGAGTATTTATAGCCATACATTTATATGATAAGTTGCAGATCTGGAGTTCAGACTTTCTCTCCTTTGTGGTGGCTGGTGCTGATCTAGAGGACTGTTGACCACAGGCAGGCAGCCATAAAATGAGGGGGCCTGACTCTGTTGAGACCACCTCTATTCATGGCCCCTGGAGCCACTGGATGTTAAGTGACAGCCGGAAAATCACAGCTGTGGGATCAAGCGCACCACATTAGGAGAAAGAGTCTGGCCCCAAACAAGGGTGCAGCACAGCACAAATAGAATACTGAAGGCAAGTTGATCTTCTCATGCTGAGGATGTATGCTCCTGTCGAGGCACCGGTACAACTTTCATAGGTTAAAACCAGAAGGCTTGGAGATACTTAGAGCTGTAGATTGTGATTCCCCACAGCCATCACTTGATGCAATATTACTTTTTTTTTCTTATTCAGATATGCTATTTCTGGACAGGTTATGTCAAATATTTGAATGTAGAAAGGAAAAGAAGGAACGAAACATTGTGTTTACTTACTTTAAATCTGTTTAGTTTATAGCAAAACCATGCCAAATAAGTTTAGTCAAGTCTTACTTTTCTGCTTACACAAAGAGACACTTGGTCCTTCATTATACCCTTTGGACAGAGCCTCACCATGCATTTTCGCTGAATTTCAGAGATGGGGCATTTTTCTACATCAATTTACACTCCTACAATTATAGCGTTCTGGTGCAGATATGGTGTCGGCCCCTCCTCCTTGACCTTTGCCCTCTGCGAAACAGGCGAAAGTGTGTTTCCTGATTAACGGCTTGCTGAGGTACATGGCTCCAGCTCCAGCACCTTGTCCTCCCAAACTGAGGTGACAGTCTCCTAGGCTCTTTATGGAAATTAACTGCAAAACATAGCCAATTAGACCTGCGTTATTTAGAACGACTCAGCTTTTCACCCTGAATAAGAGCAGGCCCAGATAAGACCCTTACACTCCGATGCTGCAGCAAATTAATATGAAGTTGGTGGCCTGCCAGTAAGCCAGTCCATCTAAAATGGAGACATTAAAAGCATGAAGTTTTTCTATAAGCTGTAAATTATTACTGACTAGAACACAGGATGATTAAAGAGTGGGGTTTGCGAATAACTTCACAGACAATTATAAATTGAACACATGACAAGTTAGAACTAGCGTTGTAAAATGTTTTATTTGCGCAAATTAGAAAACATTTCTAATCAAACGCTATGCAATGATTTGCATGTTTCTAGCTTTAGTTTACAGCGTAGTTCCAGGACAAAACTTTCCCAGGTTCTGCACCTTTTATTCAAAATGTGTAACTGGTGAATTAAGCATCTGTATAATGTCTTTTCACTCCACCAGCTAAAGATAGGGCTCTTAGCCTGATACGCTGTCTTAATTTTCCCTTTCTCAGGTCACTGCAGAGAGCGACGGCATTAGAGTGAGGAGGAGGGTCCTTACTCTATGTGCAAGAATACACTGTGGAAGTTGCAAAGGGCAGAGTCTCTAGGAAATCTACTCTTTCTTTGAAAAAAATGTCACGGGAGAGATAGGAGATTGGCACCACAAAGAGCCCAAAATAGCACGGGCTGCTACGCGTTGTCAGACGAGATTTGGGCTGAGACATTGACTTTTGTTCTGCAAAGTATTGGCCCCTGAAAGGGAGATGGGAGGTGTAAAAATTGTGATTTCTTCTCTTCCCCTGGTTATGTGCAATACATTACCCTCCTGATAATGCATGCTGCTGGGACTGAGGTTTGTAACGTCACAATTATTCCTTGTCTGCAACAAAAGAGGCGTACTTAGGATTGGAACAGAGTTGGGAAAAGGGTAAATATGGACACTAATTCTTCCATTTTAGATGAGTGGAATGATAGGTTATAGAGGTAGTTATTTATCAAAGGCATAGGGCATTGTCCTGTAGATTAGGACAGATCCTTAACTCTTCTGCTTTCCCATAACTCCAGTACACTCACATTCAACATTTCTTCCTTCTGCCTTCCCCATGATAACAAAGGTTCATATATTTTATGCAGGTTTGCCCCTTGGCCACATAATAGGATTATGAATAATTTCTACAAATTTATAAAAACAAATCACATGGCATGGCTTAAAGTTTGCTAATAATTTCTCCATAGTTGATAGATCAAAGCCAAGGCGCAGGGACTGCAGAGCCAGGCAGTAGATTGACCCTGGTCAGGCATTTTTAATGAAAGGGTTAATCTCCTCAGAGGTGACTATTCAGGAGCAAGCAGTGTGACCAAATGAAGAATTCAGATCTGGGATAAGAAGGAGAATAGTGGTCTTGAGGGTGCTGTTGGGTGACAGCGAGGAAGCCCTGAGGTAAAACTGTGCAACGCTGTATTTGAACTCATCTGACCAGTCCTCATCCCAAATCCATTGCCAAAAGAAAGAGAAAGGTGGTGAAAAAAAGTCAGGCTGTTTGAAGAACCTATGCATATGGCATGGAGGCCCAAGGCTATTTCATGGATGACCACGAACAAACCTGCTCTGTTGGCTCTAAAACGGCATGAAAAAAATCCTTATACTAGGCACAAAAACACACACAGGCAGGATGGTGAGTGTATACTCATACATAGAGACCAATGGAGACGTGCACACACACTCAGACTCACAAACACACATACACTTTCCCATTAGGACAACTGCTGTTCATCTCAAAAAGTACCTGAATGTGCTTAGAGTCCTGTTGGGGATAAACTTTGTTGTCAAGCACCTCTTGTGCTACTGTAAGCACACATGCCCTCTTGTGAGTAATTAGACTTGAATACTTTCCAGAATGAGTGAGGAAGAAAGAGGATAAAAAAGAGAGATGTTTTTATAAATGTATAAGCCTTGGCTGGTTAAGGAGGTTTAAAAAATCTATAATGACAGTGGCAAAATGGGCCTCTTGGTAATTAGGAACAAATGAAATTGCTTATCACTTATGGAGTTACTGTGCCAGCCATTTGGCTGTGTTCAGAGGGATTAATCAGACGGCTATTGACATTACATTGTTCCACAATTATCATTCATACGTTTTATGGTAATTGGGCATTTTTTCACTGAGGAATTAAGGTGCCTACGTAATTCCAGACAAAATGAACATACACAAACATTAATCAGATCCCTGAAATAACATAACAACATTTCAGCTGCTGATCATCACGCAACAAAGTACTGAAATAAAACATTAAAAATGAGGACATCAGTCTCCTTTGAGAGAAACTGAAATGCTATTTTAATAATTAATTTAAATGAATGATAGTTATTCACATGAAGTTGAAGATGTATTTGTGCCTAAATGAATCAGTGATTAAAGAAACAGCAAGGTTTATACAGCATTGTCTAAATGGTTGTAAACAGGAAATATGACGTGTGAAACTGATTTATTACATATTTCACTCTAGGTATTGCTATAAAAGTAACAGTTCAATCAAGGTGTCTTCATAAGCCTGGTTGCTGTGTTGCATAAAGCGTTCTTATTAGGACAACAACAAACCACAATGTGACATCAACCTCATAAAACCAATAAAAAACACTTTGAATGCAGTCAGAATGCAGACATGCAACTCCTCCCCTGTGCTCTCTTTTCAGTACCTTCCCAACAGCATCTGCATGTGAAAATTTCTTGTCATTGTCCTAATGGTTTGGGGAGGGGGTTGATAAAGGAAGACTTTGCCTAATGCTTCCATAAACGTGTTAGGCAAAGTCCAGCAGGATGTAATCGCATCTAATATGTTTACAGAGGATTGATTTCCCTCCTACGACCCACCCACCAGTCAGCAACAAGCTGTGGTCAGTTCACCCAGGTCACTGTGGACGAATTCTCTGTCCACTCTGTCCTCTTTACACCAAGCAACAAGGCCGAGCCACAGAGACCATGGAAAGTATTGGAGTGCAGCTTAATGAGGTAATTAGTCAAGGCCATGACGATCCTTGGAGGCTAATACCTGTGACCTCTTGATCTTGGATTCCTAACACGCGTCTCCGGAGACGATACAGGAAAGACTGCGGAAAAATCCAAACACTGTCGCCTCGGCCAGACACTCCAGCCAATTCTTACCAAGAATGTGTGATATTACACTTCAAGAAAGGAGACTTTGGGATTCAAGCTGAGGAACCCCACATTTGTCTATTTTTTTTTTTTTTTGTTTAATTACTCCCACTATACAGTAATGGGCCTGCCCCCTTTCCTTCCCTGAAGAAAAATAAACCTTAGCAAACTTAAACTACTTCACCTGTTTACTTAGAGAAAGAAGTTCTGGAGAATTGACAAAGGCAGTGAAAAAGCACAAGAAAGGGAAAAGGATGAAGAAAACAAAGCAGGTTGATATTTTTCCCCCTCTCCTATCCCTTTCTTTTCTTTTTATCAGGTTACGTGACTGGAGGCTTCATTAATCACCACCTCGACAGCCTCTGCCAGGGGGAACTAACTGCATTTGGCCCAATTAGGCGCTGTAGAGACAATAGGAACAGCACAAGTTGTGCCTCTATGCCAGGAGCCAAGCGTTGCCTCCCTGTCATTACCTACAGAAAGGGAAAAATTAACCCCTACCAGCTTCCCTGCTTTCCTCCATTGATCCGAGGCTTTTGTGGTGTCCCTGGAGCGTGGCAGACAATTACAGATATTATTACATCTGCATTGATTTTTTTTAAAGAGAGCAGAGTGTCTCCAAGCAATTAAAAAAATTACAGTTCGGAAGTTGGCCAATTAAAATGCCCCCGGCCTTGGAGGGTGGCAGCAGTGTTGGTGGGATGGGGGGGGGACTTGACTGTCAGAATGTTGCAGGTTTTTTTTTTAGAAACATTCTAAAAATTCACACATTTGCATTGCATTCAAAAACCTATTCTTAGTTAGGCTAGTTTATCTCATTGGCCTGCATTGTCTATCGAGGTTATCATTAGCCCAAAGATAGCTTTGTCAACATTGTCAAGACTTCCTTATGTAAGTTGTCATGTCAGTGTCTTATTACATTTTTTTTTTCAGTTTAGTAACTAATGATTTTTTACAGCAGTAATATAGGTTAGTGGCTGTATTTCCTGACTTTAACTGACTTTATCCTTTGGTTGTATCAGTGTGTCTTCACACAGCTGCCTCATAAATATTCATCTGAAGCCTTTTCTGATTCATGCTTTTAAAGTATCATACCTTTGGCAATGAGCTCCTCTGTCATCTTTTATCTGTCTGACCAAACCCACGAAACTCATGCTACTTTCTCACCCTTAGATTCATTATGTTTCTACATCTGTCTCTTGCTCTTTTTGTTTCTTTCAATTTCTCTCTCCCTTATTCTGTCACACACATGCACATGCACACTCTTTCCATCTTTCCATCTTTCACTTGTGCCTTGGTGTTGCTTTCCCCCATGGGGCAATGTTGGCCTTTACCATGGCCATCTAACCAGACTTCCTGAAACCACAAAGAAAGGGAGAGTGCTAATTGGAGTTACAGATAGATGGAAGACTGGCAGTGTAGAGATAAGGGATCCATGTGATGCAAATAAAACCTGCATTCAGTGGCTGCTGAGCTTCCTAAGGGCCCATTGTTTTCTTGCTCTGCAATTAGAGCTGGGAAAGGAATTACTGTGCATTATTGCTTTGCACACAAACACCTACCTGGCCTTTTTTGGGAGCGGTTTGAGTTGAGCAGGTGGGCTTTGGGATTATTCAAACCAGCTTTTGACTAAGGGGGTAAACAATACCTCCAAATACAAAAAAAAAAGACATCTACAGAGAGACACCCAGACACCAAAAAAGAAAAAGGTACAGTTTAAATAAACAGCATTTGGCGCAGGAGTAAAAAGGACAATGAAAGTCTGCTTCTGAGCTGCAGTCGTTTTATCACCCGACACGCTGCATGTGTTTGAAGTGGAAAATCACAGTTTCTTTAATCCATGGAGCATTCAAATAAGTTTATTTCTCCCGGATTAAAAACAGTAACAATAGCAGGCAGTTAAAAACAAACAGCTCCAAACAAATGGCGACGAGGCTGAGGCGCTCGGCACGGGTAAGCTCTCCATACATCGTGGTCTGATTCATTAGCTGAAATATATTATTATTGTTTATCTATTCAGCTTCCTGATAAAAACAAGCCATGCTTCCCGTTTGGATTACAGAGTTAGAAAGGTTCAGGGGTGGCTTGCCAGTGTAATCCACAGAGTTCTTTTACAACAACAACAACCTCCGGAAGATGGGAGAAAAAAAGGAGTTTTCAACACCTGAACACCATGGCGCATTTGATTAAAGAGGGCTAATTTCAAAATATCTTCAAAGGGGTAAGGAGCTTGGTCTCTGTGTGTGTGCGTATGTGTGCTTAAGGGGCCTGTTCATTGTGAAGTTCTGGCAGCTTTTAAAAGAAATAAATTCTGGAGTAATCTCACGCAACCTTAAATTAGGGAAGTAAAAAGACTGGGCAACACGTGCACATGGAATTTGGGAAGTACAAATCTGATAACAAGGTGGCCTTGTCACGTAATGTCATATATTGTATGTTGGCAGTCCTGTGTGACTGTCTGAAACCAGCAGGAATTTGTGCTTTTTTATGTGTATTTAGAAACAAATTTTGATTGCTAATACAGCTGCATAATGAGTCAAATACTCTTACAATGTGCTTAGTTGTAGGTATTTTCACTAACATCATCACCTGTATAATGTAAACATTCTTTATGGTTGCTATGAATTATTCTTGAATCTCATGATGCCCAATCACAAAGTTTCCCATAACTTCAGTTTTTCTGAATGTAGGTTTGAAAAGAAAGCACAGTTTCATCTGTTCCTTGAGATCTGCACAAGAGTTGCAATTCATCAGTGGTGGTAAATGTGAAATACACCTCAGAAAGACAGAAAAATATCGGATGGTAACCAGATGATCCAGGGCTGGGCCCAAGCAGATAAGACAAGGCGCATTCCACCGGGGGCGATGGAGGTACGGCTGCAATGATTTTGGCAGATTGAATATTCGGAGATATAAATGAGACAGTTGGCTCGTTTCATAATGAAATATCAAAAATTCACCTGGAATTGCCGCGTTGGGTCCTTTTTAGGTGGCCGACTGTGAAAGCTATTGGTTACAGTTGTGAATTTATGATGAAGGAAGAGATTTTAAGAGAGCCTCACTAAAACTGTGCAGAGTATTCCTTTGAGTTTTATTCTGACTAAAAACTGTTATCAGACAGCTGTGATTCACATTTACACTTTGAGCCTACCACTATTCAAAACAGTCACCTATGAGAAAGCCCCTCACTGTACTGAAACACCCCTCAAAAACATGAAAATTTAAATTAAATTATGGACCCTTCCTCTCCCGACAGTCAGTGTGATGATACGCTTTCAGATCCTATTTGGAAGGGTTTGAATGTGCTGAAATGTAAATGACTGGACGCATGGAGGCCCAAATGGGAAGCTAGATTCTACATGGGTCAAAGACAGGAAGACTATAGAACTAAGATAAACGGAGGGAAGGAGGAGGGGAGAGATTCTCATGCGAATCGTTTAACAGCGGACACACAGTGCCACTTGCATTATTGTGACTGTTGCATCAAGGGGCAACGCAAAGGGGCCCCTTATTTGCAATGCACCCCAGGGTTTTTGGTCTTCTCTGAAAAAAGGAACCATCCAGATTTAAGGGTGAGCTGCTAACTCATGTTATGGAATCAGATTATCTGATTTGCCAAGCAAGAATAACCTTATGTACTTCAAGTATCTGCAAAGAAATTAGCTGAATTACTAACATTTCAAGTCATGAAATAGAATATATTTTAGATTTGCTTGAGATTTGAGAACCAGTATTAACATAGAAAAGCTTAAGCTTTGGAATTTATGTTTGGTGCTGTACAAAGTAGCTGATTAATGCCTTGTGCTCATGTTTATGTCATGCACCTCACCATTTTACTGCCTGTCAATGTCATTATATCTCCATGTGCAGTTCATTCATGGTGTCTGACATGCCTCACTCTATCAGTCTGGTGAAATACCTGCTCTATGCTCCCTAGAAGCTCAAAGCAGCCTTTTAATAGAAACGATGCCTTCTAGTTAGCCAAAAAAAAGGTCAAGCAATTGGATTTCCAAAGTCTGATAATCCCTAGATGTTTACCTCAAACGTGGTGTGCACCTTTCCCTCTCAGCTCAGCTTTCATTTTCTCTAACTGCCCTTGTGCTGATTTGTCAACCATACATATGATCAATTAATCTATTGAGTCTGAACAGCATGGAAGATTTAAATTGTCCATACATACACCCATGTGGCCAGTAAGCCCATTTTGTCTATTTATAGTCGTCGTCAGTTAGTGCAGCAAGTGCTATAGACAAAAACCTGTCAATTAAAAATAAATCCCCCCTGTCGTCGTTTTGGAGAAATGTGTAGCATGAATCTCCTTGATGGAATCTCACAGTAGCTCTGTTGTACAAAGCAATCTATATACCTTAATCTTACAAAGAAATTCATTTAACTAGGCATACTTTTTTCAAAATTCATCCCATTTTTTCACATCAGCATTAAAGAATTTGCATTGTACGCTGTTTTCTTATTTAAAAATGAAGACAACAAGACTGTGTTGTTTTGTTGAAGGGGAAGATAAAAAGGAAATTGTGATTCTCGACTTATTCCTTTCTTCCCCCTATGAACAGGCAGGTACAGCAGATTCATGTAGAAGTTTCCCCTGCAGCCAGAAAGCGCCAAGCTGTGTCAAAAATGACATGCATCTCCTGTTTCCATGTCATGCCATGCATGTGATGTGATGGGCGAATGAAGGCAGTTCCTGCAGAGAATAGTAGGGGGTCATTATTAAGCCTCTTAAATTAGCGCCCCCTCTCACACAGCCCTTGCAATTTTCCAAGACCCACAACCACACGAACACCCACTGAACTCAGCACATTAGACTTGACAAAGAAAATCATTTCCGAAGTTTACTTGCAGCAAACTCATTTCATATGTGATTGAATTGTACCTGTATGGTATGACCCATTTAAACTCAAAGTCACACATGGTCGCTTTTAGAACCTATTTGAGCAGAACCATGCTGTTAGTTAGCTGTAGACTGTGCCAATTGCATGTCCTATGCAAAGCAATTTACATGTCTCTCCATCACACTCACTTATATGGTTCAGCTCACAAGAGTTACCATTTAGATCGCTTATGGGGGAGGGGAGAGGGAGTGAGCTACATCCACTTGTATAATACCATATGTATGTTTCGCAGTGTATAGAGTGGGTGGCAACAGCAGCAGAAAACTTAACCTCCTGCGCCCCTGAACTCCATCCTCACTGAAACACAAATGACACCATGACAAACCAAGCATGTGGCCCAGATGTGGAAATGGACTGCTTTTGCTGCTTCTCCTCTCCTCCCATTTTGATAGGCAGGTCCCACCACTCCAGCATCTGCCTTGCCCATCTAAATGCTCTCAATATCCCTAGATTAAAGAGACCTAGGCCCCAAGGTCAGAGTTTGAGCGAATGACTGCCTCTTCTCGAGAGCAAAAACCCTTTTTTACCGCACCTTGTCTCACTTTTATTCCACTCCTTTTCACTGATTTTCCTGTCTCTCTCTTCTGTTTCTGTCTTTCGATCTATGCATCACCATCTTTCCCTCTTTCTCTCCTGCTATCGTGTATATGTATATTTACAAGAGTGCACATAACTGGTGTCTGGGGAAGAGTAAGGAGCAGTGGGGAAGGGAAGCCATTAGGGGAATAAAGAGAGGTGCTGCCTCACAGCCGAGCTTCACAGGCCAGTGGAGCAAATCAAATTGGGTCTTGTTCTGCGGCAGGACACGTGTGTGCGCGCACACACACACACACACACACACACACACACACACACACACACACATACACATACATACATACATATACGCTCAGTGACAGTGGTAGAGGCAGCACACAGCTGACAGGAGTGCCTTTGGGACATAGCAGGGCTGGGCATGTCTAGGGCTTGCCCACCAAGGGATGCATTCATGACCCCAAACTCTCCTGAGCAAACACATTTTAAGAAGGGTTTAGGATTAGTCAGTATTGCTATTATGTACAGAAATATAGAATTTCACAGCTGTAGTCAGTGGTTATAAATTGGAAACCCTGAAAATTGTATTATTTTTTTAAAAATACACCACTGCGCCGCACTGTTGCACTGGGTGACATGTTCCTTTGTGATGATGACCATGGACACTGTTTTAAAGATACATATTCAATAAGAATGAATGATCTTGGGATTCAGAGCTATAGAAAAGCTGAAGATGTTTCAGTAGTGAGAGACAGACAAACACGTTGTTGGTTTTGTACTTCTCATGGGATTTGCAGTAATAAAAA